TCATAAAAAGCTGATCTGCTACAGAATCCACAAGATGGAGTCTTTGAAACCCAAAATCCTTTTGAATCCACTGATGTCTCTGACATCCTTACAATTGCATTTGCTACCACCTCTTGTGCAGGGTGACTGTCCAAAGAGCTACCAAAAGAACCCTGTATCTGGACGCTTGCATGGAGATCCTCCCAGACACAAGAGCCTCTTATCTTCAGACTGCTGTTCTCCACAAGCAGAAGGTAAGAAATATGATGATGGAGAGGGATGGGGCAGGGCTGGAGTGCTCTCCCTCCTCCCATGTTTGCTCTGATCAGGTCCAGCAAGTCTGAATAGGGCTTTAGTTTCGCCCTATAATAGCCTCTTTAGAGAGAGAGAAGTTATCCATGTCGGTTCATGGCCTTGCATCAGCCAGGCAGAAGAAAGCTGTTCGCCTCTGCCTGCCAGAGGAAAGAATGAACTGGCTTTGACCAAGGATCAGTACTGATCTCCAGCAAGACGTGGGGAGGCGGGGGGGGGGGGGGGCGGTGTCTTTCAGTAAACCAGGAAAAATCTGTCTGGACTGTAAACCAAGGGTGAATTTGGCCCAATGCATCTTTGTTTAAATGGCTACTTTGAAAGTAATCATTGAATTTGCTTGAGAAATATCTGCTAAATTCTAGTTAAAAGCTGCAGCTGTCCATTCTCCAAAACAGACTATTTCACACATTCCTCAGCATGTTTACAAGAAAGAGCAACAAATTGTTCACTGAGCAGGCTGGGCTCATCCCTCCTGAGGAAGCATTTCTGAAGACACATGTAATGTGGTGCATGCAAGCAGCCAAGTGTTTACTCCACAAGAAGCGTAGTCTTCTGAATCAGGGAGGCAAGTCACCTCTGGCTGCCATGAATTAGCGAGATGCAGGAATGGAATGAACTCCAAAAGCAGCCAGAACATTCCCTTGAGTGTTACATTTACACACAATATATGAAATCACACCCTGGTTCACAGGAGTCGTCACTCCAGCCAGAATGCATCATCCATCTGCAGCCCCACCCTGCTCCCACCTTAAGCCAAACTAACTACATATTACTCTACTAGCAATGTGTGTAGCTGAGGAGGGTGAGCCTTTTCTTGGTTCTCGCGTAAGAGTGTGAGGCCTCGGTTTGAATCAGGACTACTGTGCACTAGGAAGGGGTGATTAAGCATTTCCCCACCCCCATGTTTGCAGAGGGATTAACAGGAAGACAAATTCTCCCATGGGTATCAAGGACAGCATGGAAGAGTCATTAGGAATGTGCCATATGCCTGTAAAAGGACCCAAGTCTGAAACCAAAATTGGTCAACATGGCCTGTTAAAATGCTTTGGGCTGAAATTCCTTCACATGTATCATATTTAGATCTGAGCCAAAAGCAATTTTGTTTAATTGATCCTGGAGACAGGCCTTGAGGGTGAGACTTCATGAAAACTTGCCGCCTCACTCCAGCCAACCTTATTCATGTCTCCTCCGCCTGTTGAAATGTTCCCCAGAAGCCTGGGCTACAGGATCATGGAGGCTGCTGCTTCCCATAGGCCAGTTCTCCAATGATTCATTGTTTGTGTCTACCCAGAGGGAGGGTAGGAAGTACGGGGTCATCCAGAAACCTCAATGAGCATAGAATCAGGAAGTATTGCTTCCTGCTCTCCCTCTGTTGTCTGGGTAGGAAGAAACTAGGAAGCACCGAAGAAACATCAGGGGTAAATATGGACTGCTTTCATGTTAATTGTGGCAATGTCTTCCATCCTGTTCACATACCCCTGCTGTACACAAATTGCTGCATTGCTCCTGAACTTCTCACCCTGCAGATCGGGAGGCAAAATTGGAGGGAGAGGAAGAATTTATTTTGGCTCCTCATTCATGACTTTCTGCACTTGAAACCTATAATGCAATAATGTTGAGTAAAGGTGGAAATGATAGCGACTGCTCTGCAGCCGCAGCACCAATTGATTGGTATAAATGCTTTTGAAAATGATGTGGATTAGTACACAGTTAAAGTTCCTCTGTCACTTTATTTTGAATGCATGCTCAAGATGAGCATGAAGGAATGGTGGAAAGGTGTTAAGGGAACTAATTCACTTTAAGAATCATGTGTACACCTGTGGGACAAAATGGGACACTGCTCCAACTTGCCCCGCCTTCTTTCAGGATCTCCATTTCATACTCTTCCTCACCTCCTCCCTACCCAAACAGATCCAGGGCATTAGTATGGCCGCTTACCAATTGCCAAAAAAAAGGGAAAGCACATCACCCCAAAAGAGGACAAATGAAGACAGAAATTTACAGAAAAGTTGCATGTGCTTTCTTTTATATGTGGATAGGTGGACATTTGTAAATAATTACCGTAATTTAAATAGAAATACAAATACATCTCACTAGGGTGGGGAAGACTCATGACCACATGAATGGTCTGCTGTCCAGGCACTAAGCGCTGAGCCATTTTCAGGGGCTCCACTCTCCCTCTCACAGTTCTCCCTTTTTAAGCCAGACTTAAGACGGGACAGCACATCAAATAAAGGACAACTCCAGAGGACAGTTCTCTGTCAAGTAGGGCACATGGCCACCTAACTGAGCATGCTCAACCTTCATGTTGTTGTCGTTGTCTGGTATTCATATTTAATTGTCAATTGGTTTTACTTGTGGTTTTAATATTTAATCACTGGATGTTGTGCCATTTTTATTTTATTTATGCTTGTTGGAAACTGTCCCGAGACACCAGTAATGGGTCTAGAAAAGCTTTAAATAAATAAATCCATAGTCCCCAATCCTTTGGTTCTCCTAAAGATGTTTTATACTTCTGTAGCCTCTGTGGTTTCTCCAAACCTACCAATTCCTCTTGCACGTGGATGGTGTTTTGGCTACAGTAAACAGTTCTGTTGATTCAGTTTGCCACATGAATACTTTCGCATTCATGTTAATATTATATTGCATATTCTAGCATAGGCAAAGAACTTACTTTCGGCCTTCTGAATATTGGCTTTCTGGAAGCACTGCTCAGAGCATGGTTGCACTTTCCAATGGCTGGTTCCCACATTACACAGACAGAATGGAATTTTCTGTGCAGCGTACATCTGTTGTGAGCCTGACACCACCGCTATGCACATGGGAGGGGTAGGCCATTCCCCATGTTTGGAAGAACTGCATCCCGCTGCACGGACATTCCTGTTTCTTTTTCCCTGCCTCATATGGTTGACAGGGAGCAATGACAACATCGAAGCTTCTAGTGCTGTCAAGACAAGGACTTGCTTTATTGGAAAGAAGGCCACATTCCAAGGAGAAAAGTCTACTTTCAAAATTGCCAGTCAATTAACAGCGGGGCAGGCCGAGTGGAGGAGAATAGACCATCTGTCACTTGAAAAATCCTAACTTTCTGGTGGATACATCTGAAAGAGACAATCCTCTTTGTAAGGTCCTTTGGTACATATTGTACCTTGGTCAGATGAGCTTGTTAACAAGGGACAATTTCCCTCATGGGCTTTATTAAATCCATTTGCACTTAAACAATAATACAAATTTGTTTAATATGGTGTTTTAAATAAAGCAAGAATCTTGGATCCAGAAATGACAAAATCTATAAACAAATCTAATGAGAGCATTGGATTCAGATCTAGACACACTTAAGAGCATACCATTAAAATGAATGAAATGTTAATTTAACTACTATTGATTTCAGTGCATCTCCCCTATTTCTATGTTGCACAATAGAGGATTATTTGTGCAAGAACTAAAACAGACAATGGCATTGGGAGACTGAAAGAATGAAAACCCAAGATTTCCTCTGTAATAGCTTGATTTCTTTGTAGAAGAAATTGTATGTGTGTGCAGCAGGAGAGTGGGGGAAGTGCTGAAGTATAAAGTATTTGTATGCAACAACTCTTGTCATTATTCATCCTCCACTTAAGTTCAGACTAGACTATTAGTCTACATGGGGCTGCCTTTATGATTCAAATACAAATGCAGCAGCCCAGATGTTAATGTTTGGACCATATCACACCAATTTGGCATCAACTGCACTCACAGCTTTTTTGGCTTCCAGGCCCAATTCAGAGTGCCAGTGTTTACATTTAAAGGCATTAAGTTTGGGTCTAAGTTACTCCAAGGACCACCTATGTATGTATGAACTTGCCTGAACATTAAAATCAACTATGGAGGCCCTATTCATATGCCCACAAGGCTTGTGGGTATGAAAGGCAGGGCCTTTTTGGTGGTGGTCTCACATTGTTTGGAAGATATGATTAGCTACCTTATTGTCTGTTGGGCAATAAACTCTTCTAAAACTCTTAACTTAGAGTCCTAAAACTCTTTTAACTTAAATTGCTTTTACAGGTATGTTTGTATTTGCCTCTAGTTTTGTGTTTTTAGATCCTATGGTAGAAGTGCTGGTGGAAATAGAGTAGCATGTAATTTTATTCCTTCTGTTGCCTTGCGGTATATATTTTAATGTTGTTGCTGTTGTTGTTAGTCACGAAGTTGTGTCCGACCCATAATGACCCCATGGAAAACATTCCTCCAGGCCTTCCTGTTCTCCACCATCCCCTGGAGTCCACTTAAGCTCACGATTTTAATATTGCTTTTATCAAATATTTTACTCTGACTTGGAATATTTTTTCTGAGATGCAGCTTAATTGGCATACGATTGTTTCAAATGTTTAAACAACTCTGTTTATTATTTGAGGATGTCAAAACCCAAGGCCCAAGGTACATGTGACTAACTTAAATCCTACTGAATTTAATACCTCCACTCTAAGCATGACAAAGATTGGATCCAACCTATATACTTATGGGATTGTGAACCAAATTCCTTTATAGCTACTGGGTTGGATCCAGATTTAGTCATACTTAGAAACAGACCCACTGGCATATACTGTTGATTTTAATAGGCCCACTCCAACTATGACTAAATCTGCCTTCAGACTACTCTTTGCAATGCTGGTTCCCAAGTATACATGCAGAACACTTCAAAAGAAAATCAAAATAAAAACATGCTGAGCTGTGTAAGTACCAAAAAGTATTTATTCAAGACCATTGTAAAAATAATTCATTCTAAACAAATTATAATAAACTTGGGTTAGTTGTTTTCCCTAGTGGTGTCAGCAATTCAATTTTTCAAAACCAACACTAATTGCATCATTTTTTGCATACTTATATAAACACACATTAAAATATCTCACATTCTTTTAATTAAAAAAAGCCCTGGTCAGTATAGAAAGCACCATTCTAACTTCTTCAAATTACTTATATGTTAACATTCATTTTCAAGGCACCTCTTGGAACAAGAAATGTTTTAGTCAAAGACTAGAATCCAATTGATGAATGTTTAGAATCTGTGTTTAATATTAAAAACTCAAGAACAGTTCATGTGCCACAATTGTAAATTTTGTTCACATTATCTGACAAAAGAGTGGTAAGACTGGCTCATCTTAAATAAAGACTGAGGCGAAGATGATTGAAGTCACTCTATGAAATGCTTTTGATTTTAACAGCCTGCAGATCAGACACGAAGGCTTTCGTTCTGCATCCACTCAGGACCAGTTTAGACAATGCTACCCCTACATGAGAGCAGCCTTCCATGCAGAAAGAATAACGTGTTAATACTCCCTGCTTTCTGTGTTGTTCCAATATATGCAACTAATGCCCAGCAATGCCAGCGTATCCCTGGTGATGGCAGCAGTGACAGACGTGGGCCGCACATGTTTAGGCGGCATGAAGGGTGAGGCCCATTTATGTTACTGCTTCTACCTGGAGTGCTGGTACAGGTAAGAAGTCTTCTGTGCAAGCAGGAATAAAGCAAAATGACTGTCCTGCGCAGAAGCCCTAGGACCTGATCTTGCACTAACTGGTATACATAATAGTACTTAGAATAGTACATGACAAAAGAGACAGGTTAAAGGGCCAAGAGGCACATAAACCAGTCCTCCTGAAAGGGTTCCTGCAGGCCAGCTTTCCCAGCCTGATGCCCTGCAGATCTTTTAGACTCCCACCAACCCCAGACAGCAAGGCCAACAGTCTGCATGGCTGGGAAATGCTCTCCAGAAGACCTGGGGACCACCAGTTGGGAAAGGCTGATGCAGACTAGCTTTTTTGCTTAGCTCCTCTTAATCATAGTTCTTTCCCTGGCCAGGAACAAGGATTCGTACAGAGATAGATCCACAGGTTACAGTGTTTTTGTTTTTAAATAGACAGTGTGGCAACTGATGCCTGGACAAGTATAAAACCTGCCCCAAAGGAAGCTTTCTAATACTGGTAGTTGTTCATGAATGGCCTCTTGCCTATACTAAGAAGTAGTGGTAGTACTTTGAAAAAAAGTGGCAGAATCCTGCTGTAACTTGGTTTGGTCCCCAAATGAGAACGTATCATCACACAAGCCTGTGCAGCCATCTGTAATTTCAGGGCAGCCTTACTGACTGGTTTGTTTCTTCTTTTAGCATACCTTATTTTAGAGGCATCCGCCATGTGTCTGACAAGGCACCATTTTTGTACAGCTGCAGGCCTGCAGACAGCCAAGCCAAGCAAGACTCGGCAGACTTTGCTAAACCACCTTGTCAGGATGCACCGTGTGATTCAGGCACCTTCACCACTCTCTGCTTGATTTAGGCCTTGCCTCTAGTCTGCAAACCGCTGCAACAGGTGATCCTCGCCACGCCGGGCGCTGCTGCTCCCCCCTGCCCCACTGTCCATGAAGCGCTCGCAAGGAAACTCAATCAGGTCAGCCTCACTCAAGGCACAGACGGTGCTCCGGGGTGGGCGGTGGGACTGGAAGCCCGAAAAGTCAGCAGAGACCCCTGTGCCCATGGAGCGGAGGGGCCGGCGAGTCGAATACATCTGCCGCACGTGTACTGGCGAAGCCGCCTTCCGACGCCGGCACCCCAGGACCTTCTTCCGTACGAGGCGGGAGGCCCAAGCCGCCAGGGCCAGAAAGAGCAGCAGGGCATTGACCGCCAGCAGCACCAGGACAAGGAGCTGCTGGTCCAAGCTCTGGGCACCCCCAGCCACTGCAGCAGCTCCACCCGCCCCCTCCTCCGGCAAGGTGACCAGCCCTGCGCAATGGTCCCGGGGTGCTACTGGGCAGACGCGGCCTCCGATCACAGCCTCCACACAAACCAGGTAGGGGGTGTCAGGGCGCAGCTCCTGCAGGGTGGCCACTGGCTCGCTCCATTCCGGGAGGTAAATGAAGCGCTGAAACTTGACGGCAGCTCCGAAGCGATCGAAGAGGATCCGGAAGCGCACAGGACCCAGCAAGCGAGGGCTGCGATGCTGCCGGACCGCCCAGCGCACTGTCACGGTGCCCGTGCCAACTGCCTCCACTGACAGGTTGTGCAGAAACAGCTTGTTGAACTCACAGGGATCAGTGACCAGCGGGGGAGTGCCAGACACGGAGGAGACCAAGTGGTGCTTCCCTGCCCGCCGAGGCCAAGCAGGTCCAGGGAAAGCAGCTGGCCTGGTGCTGACCAGCAAGATGGGTACTGAGGTTGTGGGGCTTGTGTCGGCTGCCCATCTCCCTCTCTCAGGCAGTACAGCTAGCATCTTCTGGGAGCCCACTAGCTGCATGGCTGAGGTGGAGGGCAGGGAGCTTAGCTTCTCTTGCCCGAGCCCTGGGGGGTTCATGCTGCTGTTGCTTCTCCCCAGAGGAGAAGGAGAGGACACCACTGTGGAGCAAGAGCCATTGACTGGAGGAAGCAGCTGTGCGTCCTCCAGGTAATCGAGGTACTTCCCAGCCAGAGCAGGGGGCTGGCGGCACTGCACAAACACCGTGAGGAGCCGTCCCTGGGAATGCCAGGAGCCCAGCCAGTGCTTCAAGCCTCGCAGGCAACAATCGCAGCTCCAGGGGTTCCCGTCAAGCTCCAAGCGGTAGAGAGCAGGGCTGGAGGCAAAGAGGTCTCCGGGCACCGTGGCCAGCACATTCTCCTGCAAGCTGAGCTCCCGCAGCTTATGCAGGTGGCCAAAGGCACCAGGGTGAAGGACAACCAGCAGGTTGTGGCTCAGGTCCAGCACCTCTAGACTATGCAGGGGCTGCAGCAAGGGGGCGGGCAGCTGACTCAGCAGGTTCCTCTCGAGACGCAACTCCTTGAGGGCCCCCAGGCCAGCGAAGGCCTCCGGTGCCAGCACCGCCAAGCGGTTGCCGCTCAGCGACAGCTTGGCCAAGCTCGACAAGTGCTGGAAGAGCCCTTTCCCCAGCTGCTGCAGGTTGTTCCCGGAGAGAAGGAGGGTGTTCAGCAAGCGCATGGGCCTGAAGGTGTCTGGGTGGCGCAACAAGTCCTGCTGATTCCCGGACAAGTCAAGGAAGCGCAGTTTGCCCAGCCCAGCAAAAGCGTTGCGGCTCAGCCAGCGGATGCGGTTGGCTTCCAGGTGCAAATACAGCAAGTTGGTCAACCCTGAGAAGGTGGCATCGCCCAGTGCGCCCAAGGCATTGCCGTCCAGCCGCAGCTTGACCAGGCTGCCCAGGCCGGCAAAGGAGGCTGCGGTCAGGTAACTGATCTCATTGGCGTTGACGTAGAGGATCCGCAGCTTGGCCAGCGGGCGGAGGGTGCCCGGCGCCAAGGCGGCCAAAAGGTTGTTGCCCAGGTAGAGCTCCTCGAGGCGGCCCAGGCGTTCGAACGACTTCGGGTGCAGCGTGCGGATCCGGTTGTACTGCAAGTCCAGGCGCTGCAGCGCCACCAAGCGGTGGAAGTCGAAGGCGGAGATGTTGGCGATGAAGTTGCCGCCCAGGCTGTAGGTGAGGATGTCCTGCGGCTCGGCGGCCTTGGGCACTGCCCGCAGCCCCCGGTTGGTGCACAGAACGTGCTGCTGCTGCTGGCAGTCGCACGGCTCCGGGCAGACGGGCTCGACCGCGGGCGGGACCAGCGCCAGGAAGCAGCCGACCACCAGCAGCAGCCGCATCAGGCCGACCGTGCGCGGGAGCAGCGGCAGCGCCATCCCCTCTGGGCGCGCGGCGGGCGGCTTCCCCCGCTGGCTCGGCGTCTCTCCGGCATCCCCTTCTCCGGCGGCGCTGCTGCGGTTCGGGCTGCTTCTGCGGCCTGCGGGGGACGCGCTTTCCCCGGAGCCGACTCCGAGCGCGGCAAAACAGGAGGAGGCGAGATCCCGGAGAAGCACAGGAGCAGCAGCAGCAGCAGCGCGCCCGCCCGCCGTCCTTCCCCGCTTGGACCGGGTCAGGCTGCCGGGGGCTGTCCGCTGGAAAGCCGGTCCGGTGGCTCCATAGCCGGCCAGGGTAGGCGGGGGAGGGGCGGGCAGCCCTCCTCGGCGGGCTCCCGCTCTCCGCGACCCTCCTGCTCCGTCTGGCTGGGCGGCGGCGGCGGCGGCTCGCTGCTGCTGCTCGCCTCTCGGCTTGCGGAGCGAGTTGGGGGAGGCGGCCGGGGACAGCCAAGCGGAGCGGAAGCTCGCACTTCCCACACGGTGCCCCCGGGGATCGCGCGGATTGGAAGGAGACGGCCGGCTCGGGAGGGTGGGGGGTTCCAGGGAGAGGGGAGGGGTGGCCCGCCTCTGCTCGGCGTGGCGGGGGTGCAAAGTGGGAAAATCGGAATTAGAAACTTCGTTGTCTGGACGGGGGAGAAGGAGATAGAAACACGTGGGCTGCAGATAAAGCGCTCGCTGGTTTCAACTTAAGGGAAAGGCATGAGCGGCGAGCCAAGCTCTTTCCGCCCCCTCCAGTTGTGTGTTTGTCGTAGTCGCCAAAAGTAACAGTCACGGTTTACCGCAGATTAGAGCCTGTATTTACACAAACAGCTATTAGGAGGCTACATATGAAGCTCTTGCTTGGGCACCCATGGGGCATTCTGCCCTTACGCCTCACCTCCGTTGCTCGATGTAAAAATGCAATAAAATGGATCTTCTGTTAAAAAGATGGGCCGTGCACGTTTGTGTCTCTTCCCTATCCCAAAGCAGCACAGGGAAGTAGGATTGTTCTGGGGCATTGCTTAGACAGAGTGCTGGATTAGGACTGGACTGTCTTGATCTTCTCTACAAGGTTGTTGCAGAGATAAATGCAAAGGGAAGAAGAACCAGGTACATTGTCCTGAGTTGCTTGGAGAAAAGGGAAAATATACATGCATTCAGATTTAGGCATATTAAGAGGAGATGTACCAGTGGCACACAGAACAGTATCATACAGTGCTTATCTGTGATTAAAACATTCAATACCCCCAGTTAGCCAGCACCTCTACAAGGACCAACCAGAATGCCCCAAAGACTGTTTAAGCTTTTGAGTTGTGCATGGCTTTACATCAGTCTGGTACAAGGATGGAAAAAGAAGCATAAAAGTTCAAAAAGTAGACCAGAACTTTCTTGCCAGTTGTAACGCCTAGCTTGATCAAATGATCTGGAGAATTTGCAAGCTTGCACACACTTTTGTAGTATGTTGGTTGGTCCACCTGAGGATTTTAGATTATATTTTTCAGGATTTCAGATATCACACAGAATTGCACTCAGCATACAGCTATCTTTTCCCCACCCCATTACTTCCAGGTGCCACCATTACATTAAAAAGGATGCAATACTAAACACACTTCTATGAATACAAGACCTACTGAAAACAAAATTATTTACCACATAAGCCTATGCATGTCTACTGTAAAGTTACATTGAGGTAAGTTTCATTTACTCCTGTGTAAACAGGTTTAGGATAGTGTATCTAAGTAGGATACATGTCTACTTGGAAGTAAGTTCCATTGCATGCAATTGGACTTGCTTCTACGTAAGTGTGGATTACAGGCTTTTTATTGTATCTACCATTCCCAGAATACCTCAAGGTCTTATCAAAACTTTATAGTAATGATAGGAATATATGATGATAGCATATGCTAGAAACAGATTTTTTTCTAGTACTGTAACTAAATAGGATTACTTAATTTTCTGGACAATTCCTATATGTGCAAGAAGATTAGGAAGATTCCCTTCACATCTTGAAAATCAATTGAAAAAGCCAGCACTAAAACAGCACTCCTTCCCACACATATTACATTGCTGCTGATCTGTCCGCAGGAAGCAGTCCAGGTTGGAACTGGGACTTAACAGGAAGCCTATGGGGGAACAGATAATGAGGCAAAAATGAAGAAAACTTGGATTTCCTTTTTAATGTATGGACAGGCAATACAATGCCTGAAAGCCAATATAGTGGTTCATTACATAGCCAATACAATGGTTCGTTATATATGGTTTTACGCCGGGCTGTTGTGCATTTGGGATTAAGGTTATCTTAGACACTTCTGAGACCCTGCTGGAGACCTATTTCTTGGCACATCTAGCAAGCCATATTTAAACCAATACAACAAAAGCAAGACAAGAACAATAAGGTTATGAAACAATATTGCTGTGCTTTGGATATAAAATACATTTTTATTCTTTCAATCTCTAATGGTACGGTGCTAAATATACACAATGGAATAAGCACCAATGAATACAGTGGGCCATTCCATGATTGCTGCATGGTTAACAAGCCATGGTGGCTTGTTAAATTTGTTATGCATCATGGTTCTGCACTGGCTGGATTCTCTAATATATCTCACTGGCACAGATGGACATGTCATCCAAACCTACGCATCAGTGCTTTTTAATCTGCTGTAGATTAATTCATTTGTAGGGCTCTGAGACATGTGATAGCCACCATTTTCCATAAACAAGCTGTTGCGGAGGCACACCATGACTTTCCATGTTGAGCAAACCTGGATGACATAGGTCATTTGGGGGTTAAACAACCCTCAACTTGCCCTAGAACTATCCATGGTGGCTTATTGCGATATGCAAACTGCCCAGTGTGGAGCTTACTTCTGAGCAACCATGGAAGGACTGATCCTGACATCCTAATGGAAAAGCTACACCAAGGATAGAGTTTGATATTGCAGTTTTATGGCAAATTGTTATGCAAGTGATTTTTCCCATGTGATTTGTTGGACCAAATGGTGTGGGAGTGCTCAGGAACATTCTGCTTAGTAATGATACTTAGCATTTATATAGCACATTTTAAGTTCAAAGCACTTCACACACACTGAACTCTCAGCAAATCTTGCAACAACCATATAATAGTGGTTAATATTATAAATTGTCTCCTGGGCAGGATACGGTTCAGTTAATCACAGCAGTTTATTTAAGGCCTATAAATAAAGCTAGTGTGAGATCTGACACCTCCTGTGGGCTGGAGTAGGTCTAGGCGTGGACAACTGGACTGGAGAGACTTCTCCACTCCTTTCTTCCCACGGCATTCTTGCCGGCTCCCTGGGAATGCTGCCTTGCAGATTCAGGGCTCTGTTGACTATGGGGTAGACTATGGTGTTGTCTACCATAGATATGTCCCTGAAATGTGGGCAGAAGCACCTTCTGTGAGTAGAGCCCTTCCATCCAAGGAAGACTGTGGTCCTATATACAACTGCCTGAAAGTATGTCCCATTGAACTCAAGGTGACTTGCTTCTCAGGTCTGTTTCTGATTATTCCACACCATCTGCTTTGGTTCACTCACTCTGTCACACACTCATACATACTCAGCAGTCAGCTCCCTCCTTCCTCGGTTACGTGTATTAATCATTGATCAAACCACTGCCACCATCACAAAGCCACACAATATGTGTCCACCATATGCAGTTATTCAATTTTGTGTTTATTTGATGAATGTATACTCCACCCATCTATTTTGTAACCCAGGGCGGCTTACAAAATCACACCACAAACAACAGCAAAAGCATCTGCGTAACATCTGGGGTGGGGGAGAGCTTTGGGTTTGAAGTCCACTTTAAGGTTCTATAAAGATTTCTAAAAACAAAGTACAAGCATGTCTGACACCTTAATGCATGCAATATGTTCAGGAAAATGAAAATTAAAGGTGATAGACTTGAGAGCAAGCACGACACAATGGTACTTACTTTCGAGTAAGCATGCATAGGATTTCACACAGTGAAAATAATGGCTCTGGCTTTGCTCTTAAATACAGTGGAGTTCAGTACCAGTGCCAATTAGGCTGGAGCTGTGCAGTGTCTAATTGGAGCCCTTTGTTGCCAAACATCCTAGAATGCACACATGTTCTTCTCCCCCATTTTGGGCTTGCTGGTGGGAGTAATCTCTGTGCCATCTGCAATTCATGCTTGCTGAATAACATTGCAGATAAGGCATTTTCTGATGGGATAATTGGCTTTCCCTTAAGAATGGAATGTCATTTGAGATGTCCGGATCTTCTCTAGGAAGTTTGTCTGGCTCCCAGACCCTACTGACTCCCCTGTTCAAACAGGGACTACCAGATGTTGAAGAGCTGTATCTTTTCCTGAGGGAATACTAGGCTACAAAGGCTTATTCTGCCAGTTGGATAAACCATTTTTAGCAGCAAATACCTGAGTAAAGAATGTTTAAGTCAGGAAATAACCATGCATTGTGATTTCTCCTTTTGACACATTCAGCACATAGTGCTGCACATGTCTACTCAGAAATAAGTCCCACTGAGTAAAATGGGGCTTACTCCTGAGAAGGGGCTATAGGAGTTCAACCTGAACTTCTAAGAGCCTTGAGCCAGTGCTAATATCACCCGCACTGCATCAGATCCAGATTTAGACATGTGTAACAGACTGACAGAAGTCGCTTTCCTGTCCCTCCTTCCCCTAAGCAGTGTTTCTCAAGTGAAAAATTTACATGAATCTGTCTAGAATTGGAAAGGGAGGCTCCCTGAAAGTTGAGCAGAGGTGTTTACCCTGCTCTCACCCTCTCAAAAGATTTCAGATTTTCTCTTTAGCTATTGCAGGAGCCTGGGGAAGTCTGCTGTCCCAGCACAATTGTATGCAGCAAAATCTGGATCTGAGTCAATAATGTCTTAGTTGCTCTGGATGGAGCTGGATTGAACATTCCCAGCTGCATCAAAGATGCATTCTGCCAACACGTTTCATGAATGGGGGCCCAATAAAAACCACAGTCTGGATGCAATATGCATCCTGTTGTGCATGTC